TCAACAAAAATCAATCAATAAATGCGTACAATAATAATATATATAAGAATAAACATCCGATTACATAATGCCAAAAGTTTGCATTGTGTATGATCATTATTGTTTGGAACAAAGTTTTTATTATTATATATTATTACTGTATGCAAATATTGATTGATTTTGATTGAAATGAACTCTTTGCAAGTATGTTAAAATTGTTTCTGTAGATATACTTAATAATGACTTTGGGTTGTAAGCAGCTGACGAGAAGTCAATGAAATGAGCAGTGGTGGTACCATTTTATTCTGCAAAAGCTGTCGTTCTTGCTTTATTCAAATCTAAGTATGTAACCCAAGAGTCTTTTATATATGGTTTTAGAGACATTATTGCACTGAAGCTTATAACCCGTCTCTATGATGTGCTTTGGGATAGATGACGCTTGATATTGATTTCTGGGGTTAACTGTATTAGGTGATTTTACTTATTCTGACCATTGCTTAAGAATATCTAGTCCAATTTTAGTTCATTTTAGTTTACAATATTTTCACCTCCCTTTTTCCTTAACTCACTTTCCTACCTCTTATTTGTGATCATGATCTGTAAACATCTTGAACTATATTGTTAATAATCATGATCCTTTGTACTCCATTGCCTTTTATATAAATATGTGTGACAAGCACATGCGTGATCAGAATTTCTGTGTTGCTAAGATACATTATCGCTTTGTCCAAATTAGAATTTACTTTCCAGTCTATAGCCTTCTATGTAATCAGTTTTTAATGCAGTAGTTAAATGGAAGCGTGATTATAGTGAGTTTAATAACGTAAAGCATTGTGAATGCACATCTATGAAGATATACAGACTGGAGTGAAATAAGCGTTTATTGATTTTTAGTTTACAGTTATTCTAGAAGTAATATCAGTTCTCTGTGAAGTACTTTACGAAATCTACCCATTCATCACAATTCAACGACTAGTTTTCTGGGGGTTTCCAAGAAGACACGTGTTATTTTTAAGTATCCTTTCGGGCTGCGGTGCTCATGCATTTTATTTGACACTAACTAAATCACATATACAACTGTAATTAACTCTGAGACCCATTAATATCGAACATCTTTAGTGGAGTTTGATTAAATACAATAGATTTCAATTTTTAATGTTGATACTACTGTTTCTATCAGATCCATCATGGTTAAAGCGTGTAAATTCCAAAAAATTTAGAAACACATTGCCTAAGTATGAATGGATTCATGTGTTGGAGTAACTGTTAGCTTTCAGTGAAAATGTTATTTATAACATTTCTATGTAGTGAAGCTTTGAGTGTCAGTTGCTCCTTATTTTGACCTCAGGCATTCAGCACATCTATATCACCAAGATTTTGCATATGGAACGTTACTATGAGAATCGTTATAACGAGTATGAATGTTTTCAAGGATAATATACACATGAAAAATTGTAAACCACATATTATTTTTGAATTACATTCGCAAATTACACAGCTCGGCGTGCTTACTTCACCAATGTTTCTTTTAAAAACCTCTGATGAGCTCGATACCAAAACGAGCGAAACAACTATCCGGTGTTTAGACCACGTTGACCTAAGTTGCAAACACTACTGGTTGATGTGAGCAGTATTCAACTGCTTATCTCAATCAGTCAGCACTATGTAGTTCTTTTGCTATCTTTATTGTTTCTTATAATATGATATGATAGAGAAGCTTGGTAGCTCAGGGGGATAACATTGGTGTGGTTGTTTCCCCTCAGCTAGATGGTTTGACTGCGAAGCTTTCATTGTCTCCCTAGACATCCTCAGGACACACTTTATTTTTAAGTTTTATTGACGCAAATAAGATTTACCAATGAATAGAAGGGAATTCATGTAGGCTAAAGGTCAAATTTCAGTTCGGCGAAACAATCATTACCAATACAAATGAACTAGAGGATGAGAAAATATCCAGAAACAACCAGTCACGTTCAAAGTTCCTGTGAGAATTCTGAAAGCTCACTTCAAATTGAAGTATCTACTGATGATATTGTCTAGAAAACAATGAATGCTTCGGAACTAAACCATCCAGATAGGTGAACACAATTATACTACTATTCTAAGGTTAATTCTAAAGGATTAGATAGCAAAAATCCTTTATCCACTTAGTATTAACATGAGGAACAACCAATGTGTGGTAATTTAGAATAAATAATAAATAATGAGACTGATTTTAGTTCTTCATTTCGCCCAATCGAATAATACACTTAACAATTAAATGTAAACTATATGATTGAATAAAAATATTCCCTTTTGTGATTTTTTCACTTGATGAATAAGATTTTCAGACAAGGCAGGTTTGTTTATTATTGACCCAAATAGAAAATCTTTTCAGAATTTGTATCTATTGGTTATTTTCTTTGACAGGATTGCTTAATCTACAAAAGTGTTTATTCACTACTTCTACTAATTCATCCATTCTTTAACTAACACAACCTACATTTTATGCATAAACAAGAGAAAACAGATTTCCGCATTTCTTTCCCGTGCCTTGAATAACCTATTTCCTTAAAATCAAGTCAGTTCGGTTCTGTAGACCACACAGTTGGAAGTAGATTATGTGTATTCTATTGAATTCAAAATCCATCGTTAATTTATTTATTATTGTTTGTTCTATACACTAGGATAATTTATTTGTGTTTATCATCCTTTTTTATCTAAATCAAAATGACATTTCGCTCTTGCGGTCCCATGATACGTTTGATTTTAGACGAAATTTTGGTGTTTTTATCTATTGCGAAAGGCCAATTTCAATACATTTTGTTATCAACAAAAATCAATGTTAATCAAAAATTCAGTATATCAATTTTAGATTTCTTTAAGTCACAGTGGTCAGCGACCATACGACACCTAAAACACCGGTTCTTCTCCAATCACTGAAGTTAAACAACGTTGGGCTACATTAGTACCTGCCGCGTTGGTATTGCTAAGGTAGAATGACTGCCAACCAAGAATGTGATCAGGAGCTGAATCGCCAGCCTACGCACTCCTAAATCTCGCTTAGCCGGTTGTACTCACTGTAAACGAGGAAGGTCGGGCGTTAGAATATCGATCGCACTTCATAAAAATTTAGAAAAACCACTGTTACTGAAACTCCAAAGTTCAAGTCTGAAGCCCTCTGTTCCACAAGGAATAAGGCAGCAAAGTGAATACTGGGACCCATTTAATACTCACTAATTTGCGTCATATTTGGCGCAGAGTATAAGTGTACTGCTTAGCTATAAGACTTGGCATTTTTTCATGACTATAAAGCGTTACCGCTGACAGAAAACTCATGGAAAGACGATCGACTTTATTTATTATGACTGTCTTCTTCAAATAACACAGTTTGCGGTAAGATACCGCCATGACTTCTAAAAGAAAGCCAGAATCATTCAAATTCTAATCTACTACTTGCTCGATACCAAAACAGGTAATGAAGAAACTCAGCGAAATAGCACGATGATATATATCGCTGATCAATATGAGTAATTGAAAATAACTCACATCAATCACCAGTGCTTAGCAGAATACTCGAAATCTCTGCGGTTTGACTGTCAATGAGCTCAATACCTAATCGATGAAACGACTATCAGGTTTATAGATTACTTCGGTCTGCTTAACAAGCACTCCTGCTTGATTTCAGTGGTTTTCCACTAAGCATACCGGTCAGTAAATCTTTAACCTTACTGGATGTCCTACTTACAAGAAAACCAGAGGGTAGTATAAAAAGAAATCTGCATGGAAAAAGCACTTGGACAGGACAATATACACAAACATTTTCACAGCTTCATTCCTATCAATTACAAGAGAAATTTAGTGAAGACCCTCAGCCACAGAGTTAGAGCTATATGCTCAGAAGAAGTTATTGAAGATGAATTAAGCATTGTATATGATACTTTGATCGAAAATGGTTATCCTGACAAATTTATCAAGAAACACATGACAAAGAAAGCGGAAAAGGACTACTTACTGTCTGTAAACAAGAAGCCTTTATATATACGGCTACAATTCAAGGGCAATATACCAAGCGAGATAATTACGAAGAAATTAAAAAATCAATTCAAAGAACTTTTAATGGTGGCGAACTACACGTATTATTCTCTACACGACCGATGGTGCTACCTCGACTGAAAGATGAAGTACCTAGACTAGCCACTTCGAATTGTATCTATCAATTCAACTGCGGTTGTGGAGCGAGTTATATTGCCCGTTGCTCTAGGAATTTGATTTTTCGTGCTCGAGAACATCTTCCACTATGCCTTAGTAAAGGTGTAGTTGAAACTATTAACAGCTCGATGTTAGACCATCTGATGCAAACCGTTCACAAAGCCAGCGTAGAAGAATCCTTCTCTATGATATACCAAATGCCTTAACAAATTGCAAAAATCGTTAAAGCACGGCATGCTCCAAACAGCAGAGGCTATTGCAATTCACCTCAAACAACCAGTGCTCTGTGCCCAAAAGAAACAAGTCCAGCCCCTACTACTGCCCTGGCCCTCAGTAGAGACTATAAACTCATGAATTTGTACTATTACCTTTCCTAATTCTTCTGACATTCAGCTTATTTTATGTTGATGCTGTTCAGCTGTTATTTATCAATATTATTGATTTGATGTTATTTAAACATTAATGTCGTTCATAAGACGAATTTATTCATTCATTCATTCATTATAATGTATACATAATTGTAGAACCTGATGATGAATTTATCGAAAAGAGTACTCTTTGTTCCGTATCCATTCTTTTAAAATCTGTAACAGTATGTTAATATTTTTCACTTTCTATTTCTGATCCAAGATAGCACTAAAAAGTAAATAATGCTTAAACGAAATGCTAACCGTAAGATAAGGAAAACAGGTTATTAGTCGATGTGGTTTCGAATCCTTGGGAATTGAGATATTTGGGATAAAATATGTTCCGTGCCAAGTAATTCTTTTCCTCTAATTTATAGAAAAGTCAGTGGTCATTTTAAAAAATCAACCATCTACACACAGAAATTATAAGTAATGGGATTTTCTTACTTGAAATAAGAGGATGACAACTCCCGCGATAGCTAGTAAACCAATATAAAAGCTGAGCATTGATGATAATTGATCCCAACAACCTCGTTTTATATTTGAATTCTTCTCATTGAATTCTCCTGGACATGTTGGATCAATAATGACGAATTGGGAATCCATTTTACAGCATGGAATAGGATATTTAAGATCTGTTTTTAAAAGAAATTTAAAGTAAATTTTATATACACAGAGTAATAATATACAGACACACAAACATTGGTGCAGAATAACATGGAATCCCCTTATTTGTTGGTCCTCATCAGTTGTGTACAAACTATAATCTTTAATAAAATAAGTAAGTGTACAATTATAACATCCTTTTGTCTACCAGAAGTCATATTGAAAGAGCGCTGTAGGGAAATAAAACACCAGGTATCTCTATATAGCACAACTACGTACACCTTATCATTAACGCACCTTTAGCACAGATCTTCCGTGTTGTGCTAGTTTGTGCTCTATTATTGTGCTTCTTTGTGTTCCTTTCACGTCTGTCATGCATCTCTATAACTTTGGGACATTTACTTGCCTTGACATCAAATCTATCTTCCTAACATTTGATGTTTTTATGCCACTTAATGTCCTTTTATATACTACTGATTAATCTTATTAGTAGCACACACCACATCACTATATTTATACATAGTATATATATATATATATCCTCTATCCAGTCAAACTAAATCCCTACAAAACCAATACTTGAAGATATATATATGTAGCGCAACAGCCAGCTGATGTCACTGGCAAATAACTGCCATCTTGCCGGACTTAGCAGACCCTGCTGGATACGACTTCTCAACGGAACTCCAGGTAACTTCCTCCACAGAGTCAGTCGCTGTCGACAGTCGGATTAATTTTCAAGTGTTAATATTCAGGGACTTGAATGGTTACAAGTTTGATCACGAGCTGCCATGAACTAGAGAAGCACTGGAAGGCCAGGGAGTACTGGACAGATATCTCAAGTTAAGTCCTCTTCATGACTTGCCGGTAGAAGGGGTCATTAAAGTCTAACATTGACAATTTACAACTGTATACAAGGTATGAATTTGACAATTTCATCATCTGCAACAATAGTTACGACCCCAGTTAATTAATAAAAGAAGAGAACACGAAGTTCAGCAAAGATATCTTTTCGGTGATTTCATTTTCAAAAGCTGTACAATCGCATATGAACAATTCAGTGTGCGTATACCAGTTAACGTGCTCGTGCAGAGCTAGGTTCATAGGTGATTGTATGCGCGTCCTTTCAAAACGTGCAAGAGAACACTATTCAGAGTGGCTGCAAAGAGGAGGCACCGGTCCAATCAGAAGTGTCATTATTGAACATCTGATCAACACCTCCCACAACATCTCAACTGATTCTTTCAAAGTAATTTACAAAGTCAACAGAAACCTACCAAAAGCAGCATGTTTCCGACTTCTCTGTGCTGCAGAAGCCCTCGCAATATGCATCTAGAAACCGGAGTTGTGTGTTCAAAAGAACCTCTACAACTACCATGAACCTTTTTTTTCCTTCACGTTCCCCAGTGGAACATAGGGCTTCAAGCTGGTGGCTTGAAGTTTCCGTAGCAGTGGTTATTTTACAGGATGGGGTTGCTAGCCTCATGCCCAACCTTTCCTCTTCACCAGCATTATTTCTAGCTTAGCTAGGTAAAGGAGTGCGTCGGTGGCCGGGGATCGAACCCCGGACCATGCGCATGGTTGGCGAGCGTCATAAACCGCTGTGCCACCGACGCACAAATTGGACCTAGTTCGGTATATTCCTTTAGGTTCCGCTTTTTTTTCTTCTTTCGTTCTCTTTTTTCTTTTTGATCTTTTTCCGTTCGCTGTGTGTGTGATTCTTACTCCCTCTGTCTTCATTCCATTCACCCAATTTTTTTAGTTATATAAACGGTTATTTTAAGTTTGTTTCCATGCTTTTCCTGTTCACATTTATAATTCGTTTAAAATAACTGTTTTACAATTATATCTTAATCATGTGCAATGTTTGTGTTTTTAAGGCTCTTGTAATCTATATTCACGCCTCTTAACTTCCATTTAAAGTTAAAATTATGTTTTCAATTTTGTCTCCATGCTCATTATTACACACATGTCATCCGATCTAATCCTGTGTATTTTGTTTCTAAGCCTCTCGTTAACCATATCTAGTTGGAAATAATTATCACTTTTTATTCACCGTCGTAATTATGTGGAATCAAACAAGAATTGTATCCATGTAAAATTATGTATTTAAATGCGATTGTACAGCTTTTGAAAATGAAATCGCCGAAAAGACATCTTCGCTGAACTTCGTGTTCTCTTCTTTCTAATGTTTTCTACGATCTGAAATTACTAAAAGCATTTAACAACTGCCATCCGAAAATAAAATCCATTCTCGAAAGGCAAAAAGGGTTGAAACCAACGGAACAACCCGACGGAACGTTAAGTAGATCAGTCTGTAGAAAACGCAACTGAAATGGTCAACTAACAAGTTGAGTGCCTATTGAACGAAAATAAAATCTAATTAGATCCCTTGCCACTAAGACATGATGCATCTGGGATCCTGACATCCTAGGAGAAAATCATTCGATCACTTCTGCTATCATTGGTAACAACCTTGTTGATTTCTGCTGGCCCGATTTTCTTTTTTGTTTTGTTTTTCTAACTCCTCACAACTTTTGTGTTTCTCTACAACTCTCAAATAATCGCATATTTTCATTCGTTTCCATGTGCATCTCAGTTACAGCTAATCCATTAAACTATTCATCCTATTACGTGACTTCAATACATTGACTAATATTAACAACCGTATTTGTGACAACTCATCACTTTTGTTACTACCCTCTTCCATGAAAAAAAACTGTGTATAAATGCGATTGTACAGTTAAACGAAAGTCATGTTTAATCCGCAGCTACATGTCAATACTTCACTTAACTGTGTAAAGGAAATTATGTCTACTCACTGACAGGAAGGTACTTGATCAACATTTCAGTATTTACTCATAGAAACTTACTATAAATCTGGTCATTGAAGATGGTGGTCCTTTTAAAATTGGGAGCATTATCGAAATCTGAACCATTAACTAAGCCACAGCAGTTCAGCTAAATGTCGAGTTTTGCATCCAAAAAAAAAATGGAAAGATAAGTAAGACAGTTAGTGTATTAAAATATATCCGTCAGCAGATCTTAAAAATACTACCCCATTGAAAGTGTAATGTAATCAGAATATTGCAATGAATCTTTACTGTGGAAGTAGGTATTACGTGACATTTTAGCCGGTGACTGTTAGTCCTTTTTTATTTAGTTAACATTACTGATGATTTTAAAAAGTAAGAATTGCAATGCTTATCACCATCAATGTAAGTTAGTTAGGTCAAAGGCACACCACTAATCCTGCTTACAACCTCAAGAGTTCTACATAATATAACATATTCCCGCCTTTTTTTAGAAACCCAATGAACTTTAAGAAGGAACAAAAAAGAAGAATGAATAGAATAAATGAATTAAAAAGTTTTACGAGTAGAGTCTGAGTTGTGCCAGAAACTTTTAGCTTCTCTATGTAATAAGTCGGGCAAAAGATTTTCTTAGAAACGTATGTAATATGATACGATTGAAAAAGATTGGAAGAGAAACTAATACCGCACTAGGCAATATTCAGTTTATTTCCTATCATAGTGCCATTGATATTAGAAGAATCATGGAACTGAAACAGTCCATGCAAGTCTTGTTAGTTCCTGAAACTAAAATTAAGCATCTGACATTTAGAGGAGTTCCGTTTGAGACTATTTATATAAGACTGTTGGTTAACCTCAGGTAGGAAACTATTTAGATCAGAACTATCTAATGCAGAAATTGTGAGATCATCAGCAAATTTAATGAAATTAGCCTCCAAAGATTAGCTTAAGTCATTTGAAAAGAAAGAAAACAGAAATGGAGATAGCTAAAAGCCCTCAGGTACAACAGCCTACAACAGCGCTACCAATTAAAGATAGTGTGCTGTTTCTTCCTCAAAAGATAGAAGCATAACCACTTTGCAACTCCGGACTCAGTGCGTACTGAAGTTAGTTTACTTGACAAAAGTGCTCTATTCATAAAATTAAATGAAGTAGTGTAGTCTATAAAGGTAAATGGAACAAACTTTTCACCTTTATCTAGAATCGAAAAGGTAATATGGTGCAGTACAATGAGAGCATCTAAAGTGCTTGTACTGCATTTATTAGCAAATTACTTGAGGTCACAGAGTGATTCTAATAAGGGTTCAAGAACAAGTAAGAGAAGTCTTTCGAGTTTACAAAAGTGGAAACGTGATGACGATTTCGGTACAGGTATAATCTTTATTTCTCTCCAAGTGACAGGTACTGTATCCCTTTGAAATGATGCGTTAAGCATTTATGTAAGAGAATGACAAGAAATATTTGCAAACTTCTTCAATGAAATGCTTGGTACTTCATCAGGACTTAGGCTGCGTAATGGACTTAAGGATTTGAGACATGTCAATACATCCTTTTCATCAAAACCTGAAAACTTTCCGCTCAGATGACTACAGGCATCTGGTAGAATCACATTAACTTTCTGGGTGTATATTAGAACAAGCATCATTCGAAATATAACTTTTGCTAGTAAGTTGACTAAATGGTATCCAGATGTTGGAAGCAATAAAACAGGATAGAAGTTTTTTATTACATACTGATTTCATTTAGTCTTTGTATTTCAGACTTTGTTAAACAGTTCATCCTTTTAACATCAGCATTATAGTGTAATTTATATGAATTCCCTTTTTCCGTTGAAAACTTTTCTAGTTGCGAAGATCAGATCGAATTATGTCTCGTAAACAGTGTTTTAGTAAGACAACAAATGTCCAAACAGAACTGGAGATAACAGGTGATATTAGATACAACAGCATCCAACATTTCATCGATGAATATGTTGCAGTCTGTGTCATGCAACATTCATCTAAGTGAATGAATACTGTCATATGAACAAGATCGTTCTAGAGTTTTCTTTATTAGGTGAACATTTTCATCGAGGATCTTCAAGTAAAATGGCAGTCCATATTGTATCATGTGACGACGTAATGCTGTTCGATCTGAAGTATGAACTAATCCTTCATGATATTTCTTCTTTGTCTCCGAGAAATGCTCACCCGGAGTTTGAAAGTCAATCAAAACTGTGAATGAGTATATTTCACCACTCAAGGACGTAACTGATTAGTTAAAAAAAACCAAGATTCACAGAAAATATGATGCATTTTGTTGGATAGAAATTCAGACAGCCCAGTGATTCAACCAGCTATTACTGTGCGCCGGTGGCAAAGTGGTTAGGACTCTTGCCGACCATGCACATGGTCCGAGGTTCGATCCCCTGCCGACGCACACCTGATATCTATGGTCGGCCTACAAAATTTGGGCCACCGATATCACATGCTGAAAATTCCGTACTTGTACCAAAAATACTGCGTAGAATCAAGCTGTAATCAAAAGTATTTTAAAAACATACTTATACAAGAAGAAGATATTCCCAGTCACACAAGACTAACGGCATGAATTTCATCCAACAGAGGTGTTGAATGCATTCCTGGATTATTTTCTACTAAAAGAACGTAGTTACTCTTGGAGACGAAAGTATCTATGATACAAACAAAGTCTTGAAACAAATTAATGAAGGCTTCAATTATATCTGTCGTTGGTCCACTACACTCAGTCCATCTGTCTTTTATATGACATATGGAATTTTTTAAGAGCACCTTGATTTCACCTACTATCAAAATCCTGACATAACAAATCTGATAGGAGTTACAAGTGAAATCTATGACAAAGATTTTTTTTAATTTAATGAATGTCACATTAGTCAAATGAATATTACAAAAAACATACCGCTGGCATTATAACTGAGAAAATAAGGCTGTCCGTATCACTGGAATAAATTGAATGATATTTCGTCAGTGATTCTTCCGCCAAATTTCTAGCCAATTTGAAGACCTTTATGTATGTAGGTATGCAAATAAATAGTGAGATGATAGACTGAATATGCAACGATTATAACTTAGATGTAGACAAATCAGAGTACACAAAATAATATTTAGCTTTTGACCTAAATAAAATAATCGATGGTTAACTGTTTTTGAAATCAAATATTTTTGAAATAATTATGAAATATTTTCAAGAGTTAGTTTGGAGGGATTTGACTAGTTTCACGTTTCATCATGAGCTGACATTCGCTAGTGGTCGCATTAAACTCCTGAATTGGTAAAAGTCAGAATTCATGGGCCATTAGATAGGGTGACAGTGGCTGAAAGATTGATGTATGAACTTGCCTTGTAACCGATAGTTCCTGGGTTGGAACCCTAGTGGGTGTATACTGATGAAGATTCCAAAATAGGACGAAACAGTCGTTCGGTACAACCTGATTTTCCAATGGTTCTCTAACTGACGTCAGCTTATGGTCAGACTTGAAACACATTTTGAAATAAATTTACCTGATGTGTTTATGGGAAAACAGAGTATGATAATATTGGCACATTGCAGTCTGCAATAAGCAGAATCCACCATTCCACCTGCAAGTTTAATGGAGAGTAAATTTGTGGTATTTAAAAACTGACATGAAGATAGATCTCGTTCAGCTTCGATATTATATTGTAACCTAAGGACCACAGTCGTTTTTCGATTAAGTTTAAAAGATTTGAAACAGCAGAGTGATTTCTGAAAACTTGTTTGCTTATTCGAGTATTACATGCGAATCCAGTCATATATATACATAATATCTTCGATATTTAGACAGAGATAAATCATTTATGTCATTTTGAATCCATATAGCTAACAGTCTTTAAATACTACTCAACGACTTATAATGCACCTACAGAACGTCAGAGAAATGCAAGGATATGCAGTCAAGTGACTTTTTTTCCCTAAACGACACTAAGCATTTAGTTTCCCGACCGATAGCTGCTACCTTGACATGGTGGTTGGGTTTGCATATCACAATGATCCAAAAAGCAACACTGACTGCAAATAATGTTCCTGCAGGTCCTACCATGCGGGGAAGATTGTTAGAACAGCGGTCAGACTGAAAACAGTTACCGGTATAGTGTAAGAATTTTTACAATATGCAGGGCGAAGTTGTTCTGCGGGGGAATCAGGATGTAACGGCAGTAATGTATTTCCCTCAGATGACCACCATGCCAGATATGCTGTCTCTTCACTCTGGAGAGAGGGGGTCAGGAAAGGTCGACCTTAAAAATGGTACATCCCGACTTACCCTGCGGTGGTCCGTAGCTTGTGGTAATTTACTAACATGGAAAGAAATCAAAAAGCCAGTTCAGACAGGCCGTATGTGACCAGCCTCAAGCAAATGTCCCCTGGGCTCTGTGGTCACGCAACAATAATTCTCTTTATGTTTCAGGTACGCCAATAAAAAAACAACTTACACAGTGTGGGCGTCTAGGAAGTAACAAGCGCCCAGACGCTTCCAAAAGCATACGAAGCCCTCCTGACCATCATCCTCCTTTATCCCTGTCACCCTCATCATCTTGCTTTCCTACTACTGCCATTACTATTCTGTAGGCTAGTTAGTCATCTTCACTTCACTCTGTGATCACAAATAACGATGAGATCCTGAAAAACACTCCCGATAGCCTATTAAAGCCAAGCAACCAACTTCATATTGGAGTATTTTATGTCAGGACCCTCTGCCAAACCGGTCAACAAGCATCACTAGGAAGAACTCTGGCATCTGTAGCCATGAATTTGTTGTGTTTTGAAGACGCGCATGCGAGACACGAATGAGATTGTTCACTTAACTCCATCTGGCTAACAAGGTGAATCTGCGAAATTCACCTTAAGGGTATCATAAGACTCCTCAGCTTGTTCGCGAGGACTCGTAGGTGTAAACGTAGCATTGAGTTCTAGTGCAGAAAAATCCCTGCTTGACTGGATCACAGTGGATAGTCGTATGTGTGCCGTCCGTCTGAATAGGTCCATTAGGAAAAAGAACGACAGCGTTACCCATCACTGTCTATTCGTGGTCTTCCCCTACGCCCCAGCCGACAGCAGTCCAGATGAACTAAAGGATGACTTCTGCCTGAAACTGTATAGTTTGCTGCAAAAAGCCAAACGCTCAGATATAGTTATTTTAGAAGACGACTTTGGTGCCTAAGTAGGGAAGTTGTGCAGACTGGGAAGTACGTAGGTGGCACGTATGGAGTTCCCTGCAGACAAACCGACAAGGGAGATCGTCTTCTACAATTCTGTTCGGATCATCACCTGTTCCTAGTCAGCACTAACTTTAGGCACAAAAAGAGACTTTGTGTAACCTGGTGACCTCCATCATCAAATCAGCTTTGGACCCAGATAGATCATATAGCTATAGGATATCGTTGGCGAGGGTCAGTAGAATACTGCCACTCCTTTCGGAAAACGTGCGCAGACTCTAATCACGACCTGGTTCATGTACGTCTATGCTTACGATTAAACGGACACAAAAAATTGTTGGCAGTGAAGCAGTTACGTCCCCAACTAGATCCAGACTCTGAATCCCTATTTAAGGAGGAAATAGTGAAACGAGTATCTGAGGTCGACAGCAGGACTTATCCCGAGGTAGCCTGGCACAACATACAGTTAGCTGTAGACACAGATGTGTAGGCTGTGAATAAATTAAAACCAAATTTATTAGGAGCCACTGGATTTCTACCACCTCATCCAAATTGATTAAGGCAAGAACACTGATTCCGGAGGGCTCTGAATACGATGGCGGGCGAAAGCTACTTAAACGCACACTAACAAGAAGTCTTCGTGACGACCGTGAACAGTGGTGAGCGACAAAAGCTAAAGAGATGGAAAAGGCATCGGCGATCGGTAACACCAGACAACTATTTAGACTTATCAGGGAAACAGGTGGCGAAGGGCAGATGATAAGTAAAACGATCTTCGAGGAAACTGGTATCATAATTAGCTCACAGGGTGGAGGACTAGAACGTTGGAAAGAATACTATGAGGAGCAATTCAATTTGCCTACAGCCATGCTCAGCTTAACCAGCATACAAAACCTCCCTGAATGGAAGATAAACACAGGACAGCCTGAGCAGCAATCTTCGAAATCCCGGCATGGCAGTGACTCGCTCCTACTGTCAAAAGCAAGACTGTGCTACAGGAATGGAGTACATCTACTACACCTAGCTTAAGGATAGAGAGTGAAGTGGTAGAGAGTGTAGACCAATTCACTTATTTGGGACGTTGCATCAGGCAGTGCCAGCGGGTCGATCTCTGACGAAATCTCAGCACGGATACAGAAGACTCGTTTGGCATCTGCCAACTTACACCATCTCTGGAGTAGACGCGGTATCTGGCTATCGACCATAGGTCGTGTGTACTGCTCAGCATTTTGCTCTGTCCTTCTTTGTAGCTGAGAGACATGGCGATTGAAAAATGGAAGACATGAAAAACCTGCTGCACATCTGTGCAAGGTTCTACGTTGAGACCAGTCATTCAGTCAGTCAAGAGTTTACTTTAAAATTTTCAAAGCTAAGAATTAGGCTTTTCCGTACTCATTCGCGAACCAATTAGTCGTACTTTTAAAACGTATTCCACTTAGTTTTATGGGAACAGTTTATAAATGGCACATATTACGCATTTCAACATTATACTAAAAGTCATTCAGTAATGCATGAGTGTTCACATATTACATTTGGTTAATTCTGATATAAACTGATATCAGTTAGAAAATTATTAAAAAACTATTGGACAGCTATTTCCTTCTAGTGAATGCATAATGCAGACAATTGACAGAAACATATTTATATACTCAGAGATTAATAAACATCTCTACTGACAGATAGAAAAATGTCAAGTCTGTTTTAATGCTAAAAAAATGATAAATTGATGGATTTATATTCATCTGTCACGAAACAGTAGTAAGCCCTTCAAAAAAAAGAACCACTGACGTAATTAAAATAATGTTCAGGAAATTGTAGTTCTATGCCTAAATCTTACTTATAGTTTAGGTGAACAGAAGGGTCTTTTTCAAATACATTACTTGTACTTTTGATTGGACACTAGTCAGTAACCAGTCTAATCTGTCTAGTCCTATCTTTGGTTCAGACTGAATTCTAATCGTAAATATCCACTATAGTCCTACAAGAGGTCGATCGCGAACCCAAATAGCTCAGTGGTAACGTCTCTAGTTGCAGCACTGTGTGATGCACGTTCGAATCTTAGAAGGGACATGAATTCTTTCAAGGTGCAAGATACTCTTTGCTGACTGGTGAATGCCAACTAACACGAAACGTAGGTTGGGCAAGGCTTCCTGCCAATCGCCTCCAACCATTTAATACGTTACCTGTATCTTGCTCAATCAATAAGATACATTTTATTTAGAGGCACAATGTGAAGGCACTTACTGAAATAACAGTAAAATATTGGCCGGGCTCAATGTTCTCCAACTTCGATGATAGGACGAGAACCAGTGTTTTCAACGTGTTATGATGTGTAATATACCTTTAGTGGTTTTAAGGATATCTAATTGTACCGCTGTATTTTAATATACGAGTAGAATTTGGGCACTGTGGTAGTGTCTGATTCCATATTAATTTGTTTATTAGACATATCACACAGTGAAACAGTGTTATTATTTACTGGATGACGTTTCGAACAAAATTTATAGTTCATAATCATATCAGTTATAATCACACGACTTCGAAACTTGCGTTTTATAATAATTTCTTTGTTCTCTCCCTTTTGTCTTAGGGGTAGTAGAATTCTCCAGATATCCGGGGGACAGGTGTTGAATCATTCCTATTTTAAATTGTTCGCCTTTAAGTAAGGTGAACAAAAGGCATCAGGAAAAAACATTTTCGTTTAACTAACTTCTTAAGCCTTATCAACAAAAGTCACACATTTTCATACATTTCTTTTGAAATAATTAGCTCGCTTTATGAATGTAGACAAAGCAGTAAGAAGACGTAATTTGTCTGTATGTTGTAATGTATTTGCGCAATACATTTCAAACAACAAAGGAAGCAATAGTACATTTATCCTCGAAAACTTTGTTTTGATACTATTAACTCCTTTCTTGGGCTTAGTGATATTCATTGTTATTTTGACATTCAATATGTCCTTTTTACTTAGCCTAGGTCTATTTTCTCGCCCCTTAACTCTTTATTATATATATATATATTTCCATGATAAGTGCATATGTGATCAGATTGTTCGAAATATGTTGTGCAAATACATTACACAATTCAGATAAAATATGTCTTCTTACTACTTTTTCTAAATCTATTTTTTTAAAAACTTCAAGTAACATTTGACTCACCGATTCCCGATCACCATAATAAAAACTTAATGATGTAACTTCCAAAATAACTAGCACTAATAACAATCCAATGTACTATAAAAGCAAAACAGAAAAGAGACACGATTAAAAATGGGTAAGAAAATAAATTTGGATGCAAAAGTCTTGAATACACAGATGTTTTTCGGAAGATTATTGGATAGTGTGACTGTGTTTTTGAAGCACTCGACAGATGTTTCCCAGTTATTCAGACAACAGTTAAATTACATGACAGAATAGGTGACAGTTTTTCTGAATAACGTCAGCTCAGACACGTGTTTTCACCAGGTTTTCAAGTTAAACCACCCAAAGTATCTTCCTGTATCAGATAGATTCACTACAAAACTCTTTATTGCCTAAAAGTCTTTTCTGAAAAGCTTATCTATTATACTTTATAAAAACCTGGTGAGTATGAAAATGAGTTAGGCGATAAGATGAAATAAAATACATTTGAGTAAAGCAAGAACAACAGTTTGGTTTGTGCAGAATAATATGCTACCATCATTTATTTCACTGGCTTCTCATCAGCTGTTTACAGCCCCAACAGATTATTATTAAGTTCATGTACAGAAAAGTTTTAACATATTTGCAAATTTTTCATGGTGTCAGTTGACAAAAGGTTCCACAATTAGTGAACAGTGCTCAGAAAATTGTGCTTATACACTTTTTACACAGGCAGTTCAAGTTTAAACAAAATAAATGTATGCAAACAATGGTAAAGGAGTTATGCAATAAAGACGAGAGATGCGTAAGATGCTGAGTGACAAGTAAATTAGGTAACAATGTATTGAGTTCAACTCAAATCACAGAAACAAGATACAAGCAAAATTACATTATGTCAAGGGATAAGGGTGAGGTTAAAGCCAGAGATTACGTAATCAAGCGAAAGAAAGAATAAAGACATCCAGTTACTAGGGCGAGGAAAGATTAATAACTGCTTCTTTCTGAACACATAAATCTGGTTTCAAGCGTTTGATAGAAATTTCTTTGGCAAATTTGAGGAGAATCGAGCTCCTTTGTCTATTGATAATTTTAAAGGATTTCGCGATTTACACCTTATGACCGTATAGAGCAGATGTCTGGTAATAGCGCTTGTTTGTTCCCTTGAGACGTAGGCATTCTGGCACATGTTCAGAAAATTGGAGGTGTGTCCTTCTTTCTGTTCTCACGATGTAACTGCTCTCGCAGATACATGTGAATTTGTATACACAGTTTGAGTTAACATGAGAAGGGTATCTGTCGACTTTTGACTGCACCAAAGAGCATGTTGTTCGATGAACTTGGATTGCCTGTGTAACAATTATATAAGCACAATTTTCTAAGCACTGTTCACTAATTACGGAACCTTCTGTCAACTGAAACCATGAAAAATTTGCACGTATGTTAAAACTTTCTGTACATAAACCTTATAATTTATTTAGGCTGTAAGCAGAAGCTGATGAGAAGCCAATGAAATAAATGATGGTACCATATTATTCTGCACAAACCACACTGTTGTTCTTGCTTTATTCAAATTCATTAAGGGGAATAAATGCATGAAAAAAGTACCGAAGCACACCATTCGGTTAGAGTTCACTGGCTATTTATCAGTTTCTGTATTATCTCAAATTGAATACTTCCTAAAAGTGTAAACTCCATCTCCATCAGATTGTAGAAAAGACATTCAAAGAAGAGTTACTGTATACCTGTCTCACTCTCAAGATGTGTAGGCCCGTGCACTTACTGCATTTACTTGGCAGCATAAAGAATTACTTAAAGATGTCTTAAATGATGGTGAGGGTTGACTGAAATTCAAAAGAGTCAAGGATAATTTAAACAAATGGTAAGAGGATAATTTACAAATTGTCTAAACTAAAGTAGAAATCGGACAGTGTAACAAAAATCATAAAACTGAACACATTGTTTTATGGCAACCTATTAGAATAAGAAGGAAGAAATAGATGGTACAGAAAAACGCTAGATAATGACAATTCTCCTTGAAGATTTCAGGAATGCAAATATGACTACCAGTAGTCTATGTAGCATGAAAGCATTTTACCAGTTCAGCCTCCACGAAGTCAGACTGCCAGACGACCTTTTCTATCTGCCATAAAACTTGAATTGCTTGTTTGCAGACACCTTAAGAAAGGAAATCCTTAGTACTGCTGACATAAATCTTACCTAAGAAAGAGATACCTTCTGGGGAGGAGTGAGATTTTCTCTTCAGTGAGTCGAATAAATAAATTATCGATGTAGTAATGATTAGTCTTTACTGGATTACTGGTTTGAAAGTAGCAGTTTTCTGAAATTGATTTCATAGTTTTTAGTATGGATGCTTCCATATCTTTTTCTCCTAAAAACACTTATTATTATTTCTATTCCCTTGGGTTCCGAATGGAACACATCTTCACTTTGTTCTATTCTCTGCCGTCCTCCTCAGCTGGATCCACGATTGACCATAATCTCTCATCTCCTCAATCTCACCCTAGGGCAACAAACTAATCGTTTCCCATTTAGATTCCACTCAAGTCCTGGCCTGCGTTGAGCGCGATGTCATTCGACGGACTCCTCAACGTATGCTCTATCTTCCTCCATTTTCTCATACATATTTCCTGAGCGATTGGCTCTTGGTTGTTTTGTTTCCAGTCAGAGTTTCTCGTTGCTAATTCTTTCTGGTCAGCCATCTGAACTTTAGTATGGAACTAGGGGAAGGAGATGTTGCTAAAAGTCTGTAACTTGTTGGAAGTACTCTTGGTGACATGCTAGTCAAGTTTTTGACCCGTATAGAAGCAGTGACTGACTGAACATTTGTGCTGAGAATCCGAATCTTGTTGTTTATGCTGGATGAGTGCAGATTTACAAACTGGTTTCAGATTGAAAAGACAGTAGCAGCGAAGAAAATTTTCTTTTCGACGGACCATCCCTAGCCGACTGTTTTATGGCCAGCCTCATCAACTATCGACGACCTTCATCTCTACAAGAGATACATTGATGATACTTTCATCATTTGTGATGAGAAGCTGGACCTTGAGAACTTACTTCAAATCTTCAACAACGCCCACCCAAACATTGACTTTGTACTTGAGACTGAATCCGACGGAATGTTTGACTTTATCGACGTCCATTTGACAAAAAACGACAACAACTCTTTCAAAAGGTCCATATACAAAAAGCCTATATGGAATGGACAATTCATCAACTTTCAAAGCCTCGTGCCCCTAAGCAGAAAGATGAACCTGATATACGCTCTTTCCTCGAGGATTCGGAAGATATGCAGCGAGGAAGTGATTGAGGGAGAACTGCGTAATCTCCAGAAAACCCTGATGGAAAACGGTTTCCCGCCCAGGTTCATAGACAAGAATTTCAAATCTAAGAAGACTTCCAAACAAGTCCAATCTGTTCCAAAGAAAATACTTCTGCTTAATCTACAGTTCAAAGGTGATACTGAAGCAGAAATCCCTCATAAATGCCTCTTCAAACAGCTGAGGAAAACATACTTCACCGCGAGCCTACGACTGACGTTTTCCTGCAAGAAACTGTTCAACCAGAACGTGAAAGACAAGCTGTCGCATTGGGCCACCTCAACGTGCATATACCAGTTTACTTGCTCATGTGAAGCTGAGTACATCGGCCGTACCATGCGCCGACTTGAAAAACGCGCTCGTGAACACTACCCAGCCTGGCTAGTAAAAGGAGACCAAAAACGTGTATACAGTTCAGTGACAGAACATCTGGTCAACCCAAGACATTCAGCGCCTTTCGAAAAGTCCTTCAAAGTAATATGCACGATTCAATCAAACCTTCCAAAGGGAGTGAAATCAAGACATCTGGGCATAGCTGAGGCGTTAGCTATCCAAAAACTCAAACCCACGCTTTGTATCCAAAAGAAATACGTCCAACCTCTGTCCCTGCCATGGCCATCATAAACAGGTAAATATTTTTTAGTAATGACCATCCCATCGCCTTTCTTATCTAAACTTCCTGTTTATTCATGTTATTTTAAGTTTTTTTAATCCCTGTTTACACTACCATATTTTCATATCCACACTTCCTGTTTATTTTGTCATTTTACTGTTTCTACATATTTAATCCCTGATTGCATAAACAATTATTCATCACGTTAGTTTTTTATCCAAACATCCTGTCTATTTTGTTATTTCTACATTTCTAACCCCCAATTGCACAGTGTCAATCTTCTTAGTTATTATGCTACTTTGTTTGAGGTTTAACCGTCCCCCTGTTCATTATGGCATCCTAATTCCTAATTGTAATTTTTATTAATTTGACCCTTAACCGGAAATTATTCTGGAACTTTCCCATCCATTTGATGTAAATACACGAATGTACAGCTTAGATGATGACTTCGTCGAAAAGAAAATTTTCTTCGTCGCAACTGTCATTTTATTCCCTATGACCAAATGTGTATATTCCGTGGTTTCAGGTAGATGAAGACGTATCTTGTCTTTCCGATTCTGGCCAGCTTCGACATCTCCATCATTATCTTCAGCATTTAACTTCTCTTTTATTTCACGATGAAGGGTTTCACAAATTAAATTAAACAGTAGAAATGAAGTTCTACATTACATTTGAAACAACATTTTTTTAACATGAAATTATATGCATTAAAAGTAAAAGTCTTTCCTTACAAACTTTCCGGACTGAACATGTTAAGCTAATCTCACAAAAACCATTTAAAGAAACCTAATGAAAATTGGATAAAATTTCAGAAATTATACAAGTTTAAATTGTCTGTCCGTGAAAGTAAAAGTTAGCGGAGCAGTATATAAAGTGTGCTGTTGTACTTACATCTTGAAGAAAGAAGTCTGTGGTCACAACAAAGATGCCTAATTGCCCATTGGCAGTTTCCTGATAATACTTCGGTCAAAGATATTCGTATCAATCACCAGTATATATCATGTCTTATTTAGTGTTGGCCTTCCTTATACTAATGTTATTCAGGCGACATATTGTAATGTGATTGCTTCTCATTTCCTATGCAAATTATGATGAAAGTCTACTTCGAAATGTATACTTTTCAATGAACAAGAAACTGGTTACAGGATTTCGTCATGAGCTGACATCAGTTAGGGAACCATTAGAAAACCAGCATCGTGTTACTGGACACCAGTTTCGTCCTAGTTCAGGACTCTTCGGAAGTACGGACCCACTGAGTTTCTAACCCAGGATCTTCTGGTTACAAGGCGAGCCAGCTCGTAGACCATCAAGCATCTGGGACCTGATCCAGTGGTCCATGAATTTCAACTTCTGCCAATTAACGACATAACGAGACCACTAGCCAATGTCTTTGGCGAGTATTTGTCCTGATACCTGACCTGCTGTACTCTATCCCAGGTAACTACCGATGTCAACTCAAGATGAAATCCTGTAACCAATCAATCAAATCCCTACAAACCGATACTTGAAGAACAAAACTTTAATGGAAACAAATAAAATAAAACTTTTCGCCTCTAATGAAATAAATTAAAGAAAATAAAGATGTTTACTGTTCATGCGAATAACCTTAATAAGGCATCACTTCAAGTATTGGATTATCAACTGAATTTTTTCAATTTCTACATTACCAACTTGTTTTTTTAAAATATAATCCATACTTAATATTATATAAACTGTGTTTGGAGTTTCTTCAATAAATGTCTTTAAATATGTGTCTTATGAGGTTGTAGGGCTTCAGTAACACAGTCCTCACTTCCATTGTCATTGATATCTGTTAACGTCTATAAGATGATAGCGACTTAGTAGATGATTTTCACCGAACTTAGAACTAACTAAATTCAAATGCACAGCATTAAAGTCACAATTTATTTAAGCTAAGGAGCTAAGAAAAACTACAGTTTCTTTTGGTGTAGTTGTGTTCTCTGAGCTGGATGGTTTACCTGCGAAACTTTCATTGTCTTACTAGGCAAAATCCTGACTCTCATGACCACAACATAGAATTTATATAAATAACTGTACAGAAAATTGAAACATCCTGCGATCACTCCATCAAATTTGCAAACTAGTTACTAGAAAAAATGAAAGGCATTCAAATAGATTACCAAGGAATAATGGTATCCCTGGATGTCACATCATTATGTACTTCAATTGGACATAAATTAACAAAAGAAACCATGGAGCAGTTACTACCCAGCAACGACGGGCACTTCCCACAACACTCAGGTTGGATGTTGGAATGCATAGACCTATATCTAGCAACGTATTTTCATTTCAACGGCCAAATACATGAGCAAATTAAACGAACATCTATGGGATTGTTCCTTTCAGTCCTGATTGCGGAGGCTGTGATGTAAGGACTCGGAAACATAATCCTACCGAAGATTAGGACAAAAATTTGGATGCGTTATCTATATGACATATTTGTAAAATTCAAAAAATGACCTAGGCAAAACTCACAACTTAATAAACAACCTCTTCAACGACATCAAATTCACAGAAGAAGATGAATCTGAGGAGGTCTTAATCATGCATACAACCACAGGAAAATCGGAGACTAAAGTGAACAGAAAGTCAATTCGCAAAGATCACATACTCAATTACAACAGAAAAAACTCAACAACACACAAAACGATTTGCTTACAAGCATTATTCAAGAGTGCCAGGACTCACTGCAGCACCCTTACCTTGAGGAAAATTAGAGGAAAATACCTTATGGACGTTATGGATAAGATTTTATTTTGATAAATCACACAGTGTAACACAGTAATATTAACTGATGACATTACTGATGGAGTTACACTCTACCACAGTGCCCAAGTTTTATACTTATACCTTATGGACGTCTTCAATAAAAAATGGATATGCACAAAACCTCATCAAAAGACAACTACCCTCCATCCTCCCCTGACCGAATCAAAGGCCCCCAGTGAAAACACAAAGGAAATCATCTTACCATATGTAAAGGATGTCCCAGAAATCAATACAAGTCTCCCCAAACTTTTAGGAATTGATGTCGCACACAAAGTAACAAAATCACTTCACTACACTCTATGTTAACCAAATGACTTAACAGTGAAAAAAAAGAGAAAACTAACATCATCTACAAAATGAGTTGCAACTACTGCGAAAAACACTACATTGGTCAAAGTAGACGACCTCCTTTTCTTCGTATCCGCGATCATAAACTGGCTGTCAAAAGATATGATATCCACTGGTTCATATCACAGCATATAGACAACCGCGGACATCGATTCGAGTGGGACAAAGCTGAAATACTAGACAGAAGAAACACCAAGAAAGTTAGAGAATTTTTGGAAGCCTAATATTTCGATGAATAGCCAACCAACAGACACAGTAACATTGACAAAATTTACCAATCCATGAGAGGAAAAACTTCAGGTCATGGAAACAATAAGTACCAATGCAAGTAGACTAGGAGGTGTGAAAATTGACAAAAGAAACCAATCAAGTTCAAGGTTACTAGGATAGTTGACTTGGAAACTCGTGGAGAAATCTAAAAGCTCAAATCGAAGAATGCACTGAAGATACTGTCTAGTAAGGTAATGAAAGCTTTATAAACAAACCGTGCAGCTCAGATAACACAAGTACATTGAAATCATCCACCTAAGTTAAAATCTTCCCCGTTATATCTGGAACTACAGTTATTTTATTTATCAAAATATATGTACACTTAGATCAGAGATTAGAAAAAAACTCCTTTAACGTCATCTTGTTACATATGACGTGTTGCTTTCAAGCATTCGGTTATTGCATTTATACTTGCTTTAATCAACTCAGTGTGCGAATATACAATTCCTCTTAGCCGATTATAATCTTGTTTGCTTTTTCCACTCTCCACTGCATGGATCATTTTGTTTGCTCAGACAATGCATGCCAAACACGGAGTCTTTCCCACTCCGATAGTTTAAGATATTTTGGACAGTTGGATATAATTTATCCTATATTTCAAACATTCCCCAGTAAACACCTATGAGCACCTGCGTGACATATTGTTACATACTTTGATTGGACACAAGTAACTAGTATGATGTGTCCAGTCTTCTCTTTGGTGCAGAGTGAATTCCATACGTCAAGTTTGAAACGTGGCCACCACTTTAGTTAGCTCGCTATCACGATGTACATTGATTTGATGATATTAGATGGTTGGAGGCAATCAACAGGAAGTCTTGCTTGACCTAGGTTTCGTACTAGTTCGCGCTCACGCGCTCAGCAAGGCGTATCTGCAACTCTGAAGGAACTTATGTCCCTTCTGAGATTCGAAACAGCGTCGCCCAGACTGACTGATAGAATTCAGTCTGCACCTAACAAAGGACTAGACAAATCACACTAGTTATTAATGTACAATCAAAGTATCCAATACAGTCCTACAGGAGGTCAGTCTCGAGGCCGAATAGCTCAGTGGTAACATCTCTGATTGCAGCACCGTGTAACGTGAGTCCAAATCTCAGAAGGGACATTAGTTCCTTCAAGATTGCTGACAGGTAAGTGCCAACTAGCACGAAACGTAGGTCAAGTAAGACTTCCCTCCGATTGCCTACAACCATCTAATATATTGTCACATCTATGTAATTTTATTTTATTTCATTTCCTTACATTCCGATCAGAACACAGGGCTTCAAGCCAGAGACTTGAAGTTCCGGTAGCAATAGTTTTATTTGTACGAGGTGAGGTTGCTAGTCTCAAGTCTAACCTTCTCTCTTTACCAGTCTTACTGTTAGCTTCTCAAGGTTTCGGAGTGCGTCAGCTGGGAATTGAATCTCAGACGACATGCGCGTCGTTGGTGAACTAACGCACATCGGTGTAATTGTATGAATTATTTTATTTCAGTAAACCTGGGGGAAAATATTTACAGTATGCACATGAAGTGGCTGTGACTAGCCAACAAATCTATTATATTCACCAGTAATATTGTTTTTATTATAAATTACCGTTTTAAGACAGGTACGATTTTTGCAGCATGCTCCACAGAAACCGAATAAACAAATAGCCAGTGACACAATGCCCAGGACAAAGAAGACCAAACCAAATGGACCTAAAATATAAATACAAGATAATAATTTTTAAGAAAGTGAAATTTAAATTAAACAAACAGAATCAAACTATGGGAAACATTGAGTGTCAGTCAGTATTGAGTCATGAATCATATAGCTTGGAAATGATCACATCTTATGTCACAATGATATTCAATAGTGACAGAAAAAATTTACACCTTTATTATATATTTTTTTGAATTAAATCAAAAAAGTATGAGCAGTAGTTATAACGGAAATATACTTGTTTGATATTTTTCCATGTAAAGCAGTATCATGTACTTCTGAGACACGTAAGACTGTGTCCTAATATGAAGCACATATTCCACTGCTATTCACCATCGACTTATATAAGGTCACGTTAATCTTCAGACATCGTTGAAGCTTCTGTACTGGGGTCTCACATGTCTACAGATACCCAGAACTTTGGTCCTACATACTAAATCAAGGGGAAAAGCAAACCAACTCAAAAACAAAATAATATTTGGTACCCGTTGCACAACGGATCGCTTTCGTGGCTTGTGTAGCGTAGTGGATAATGTTTTGACTTTTGAAAGGATGGGTGTAGGGTTTCAGTTGTAGTGGGAACACCACTGCTTACTGATAGAATAAGTGCATACAGATGGTGAGTCTCAAAAGAGATGAAATGCACATCTTGAATCCCACTAATAGTCATCCTCAATCCAAATGAAGTCACGTACTATATTTAGTTGAGATGGTCAGAATTCGATCATTTTCGCAGTGAAGTAATCCACCCCACTTGCCAAATTAATGGTAAACCGCTAAATCAACTTGATTCCGTATACGTCACCGACATAACCACCTTGATTAATTTTTGATTAGACACTAGTCAGTAACTAGTGTAATGTGTCTGTCTAGTCCTTTGTTTACTGCAGACTGAATTCTATCAGTCAGGTTTGCAATGTGATCACCATGTTAGGTGGCTCGTCATTAAGGTGCACCGTGAATTGTTGGTATTAGACGAGTGCCAACTACCACGAAATCTGGGTCAAGCAAGACTTCCTGTCGACTGCCTCCAACCATCTAATACTAACTTGATTAACTGCAGATAATGTTGGTTAGGTGTAAAGCTATATTTAAAAATGATAAAGTCATAAATCTCGTGCTGCTACTTACATGAAGCAATACTCGGCTAAACAATACCTACACGAACTATGTGGCTTGTAAACAACTTGCAAAATATTGACTCATGTCTCCAGTTGCAATGACCTTTTTGTTTATAAACCTAGATTAAACTGTGAAGAGATTTTCCATTTTTGAAAGTGAAATATTCTCCAAATCTAAGTAAATGTAAGTAATTTCTAAAAACGAATTAAATCCACATTACATTTTTGAAAGAAATTGTGATTTTCGTTATTTTATACAGAATAAGTAGTAGTGGACATTCCGTTCAAAAAGACGATTATTCTACTCCATAAAGTTTTTAGGAGTAAGATTTAAATAAATGGAGTGTTGTATTCACGAAAATATTCACAAGAAATGTTGGATTGTGACAGTCAGCGAAGTGTTTCAAACATATGAATATCAGAAGACAAAATTCACTGTAAATAAGCTCTTCGGTATAACAATAGTTAGAATTCATGAGCCGTTGAATCGGGTCCCAGTGGCTGAATGGTATACGAGCTTGCCTTGTAACCGGAAGGTCCTGGGTTCGAATCCCAGTGGGTGCGTACTGCCGATGATTCCCAAATTAGGATGAAACAGAAGCTGTCCAGTCCTCACTGGTTTTCAATGGTTCTCTAACTGATATCAGCCCGTGATCAACTCGTAAAACAAAACAGTATCATCCACAAAATGCTGCTTATTATCCATACATTTGAAGTTGGGTGCTCAGTGTAGATAATCAAGCAACTAATTGATTTTTAAGTCTTGACATGGTCGGAATTTGATTGATTTCAGTACAGATGTATTCAACAGTTGGTAAACTATTGAAAATCAGGTAACAGTGAACAGCTATGTTGTGTTACTTTGGGCTTCTTCTGCAGTACACATATATGACCTTACTTTGAATTAAACCTCGACCTACAGGTTATAAAACGAGCACGCAACTATTCATTGAGGGTCAGAATCCAGTAACTCACCAACTCTAACCTTTTTCTAACCACAGTATGGAGACACTGTCGTCTGTAGTCATCATCGAGTGTTTGTTCGTATATGTGACCTGGTGAAGAGACCCTAACTAACTTACTGGTATCTAATAGTTGATGTATGGTTTGGTTTGTTTGGGATGATATAAACCAAAGGACTTGTTAGGCTGAAGGCATTTTTGTACTTTTTTCTAAACTACTTGTTCAAAAATAAGTTTTTTGCTTTCCCTCAGAATTCACTTATACCCTAAAGGGAATAAAAGTGAGGAAAAAGAAAACCTTTTGACTGATCTTATTTCTTTTTTGTGGGTAAACAGTAAATGTTCTGAGGCCTTCATTTACTAAAATAATGCCGTCCATTTGGTTCAGTTTCTCAGATAGTTTCAACCGAGAAGTCCAGTGAATAAATACCATTTCAGAAAAGATTGGCATTCGAATGGACTATGATTAAAAGTAGTGGTTGTGCACAGGGTTCAGAACTCTTCAGGCGTATACGTGCAAAATCTTACCAGCGGTCTCACTAAGATACTCTCAACTACACAGTGAACACGTTTCCATTTGGTGACTAAGGTGAGCTCGGATGGCAAATGAATTCTTTTTTCTTATAAATTCCCTGTCACCTTTTACAATTACTGATATGAATTTCAGAAGGCCTATCTTGGAGCTAACTAGTAGTGGGAGGGGGGTGGAATAATTTTCAGGTCAACAGAAATCAGAATGGATAGACTATTCAATCTTATGCTAGTGGTTGAATGGCCACATGTTCACCTTGTAACTCAAAGGTTTAAAGCACAATCAATGGCAAAATTAAGGATGAGCACAGCTGATGAATTCCAAATTAAAACGAAGCAGACTTCCAGAGCTTCTTCACTTAAAACTACCAACTAAATAATGCAGGATTGTAGCAAAACTTCAGTTGGCATTGTTCACTTCCTCACAAACCTAAAATCGAGACATTTCTTTTGCATAAAAGCTGTTCGAAATTAAGTTTCATAAAATGTTACAAATCAAACAGTTTTGTGTTACTTGTAAATCTTAATATATTTGATGCCAAATCTGTAAAATCACGTGCCACTGTTTCCCCGTATAGCTTATGTATCAATGGACCAATTACATCATTTGATTCTTTTATAATTTGATCTTTTCCCCATATTAGGATAGCACCAAATGTTGTCACTAATAATGCTGATACCTATACATGTTAAAAGGGGAAAACAAAGTTACATAATTAACAGATAATCAAACAAATAACACTTGTATTATTTATTTCCAAACCATCATTAGTGAATACTTTCTAGTAATTAATTACTTTTCCTATTCACTGCTTGTATACGTCTATTAAACTTGTTTTTGTCCATTAATTAGTAAAGAAAACAAAGCAAATAGATTAACTTATATCCGACAAGGTGGCGATTTATTTCATGTAACTAGTGAAACAAGTAAAGAGCCGTCAAACTGGGCATCGACTAAGTTTCCTGATTCTTTTTGGCAAAGATTCAGAATTATTTCGATAGAGAAAGGAAGACCAGATTTGCAGTAGAAAATCATATCATTTCTATGTCACAGGTTCTCATCAGCTGCAAACTACCCGAAATTACAATGGTTATAAATAATAACATTTCATACGTCAATGTTTGGAAGGTAATAGGGAAAACATTCTAAGATGAACGCATCCGGAATATAAGCATTACAACTTTTAGATCAAGTAACCGTCAATTTATTTGCTTTCCAACTGTGAATAAAAAGGGTGGAGGGGATGAGAGAAGACAGAAAACAGAAAAATCTAACAAACAGTATTAGATTGTACGTCAACATAGCAACTCATGAAGGTTAAAGTTCATCAAATTGAAAACTTGCTCAGTGAGCTGAGCTCACTAATGTGTACGACTAATTAGTGTAACCAAAATAATATGGTTACCAAGGGAGTGAGAGATTGACTACACTCTCCTTTCGTGTGCATAAGTTTGGTCTGAGATGTTTGATTGTAATTGCTTCAGTAAATCGTTGTAAATTCGCTGTCTTTTGTATGTTTAATATTTTAAAGGGTTTAAAAATCTCGACAAATTGACCCGCATCCACAAGGTGTCTGGTAATTCCACTTTGTTAATGTACGCTTCCTTTTTAGCATAATTTTCTCAGAATATGCTCTGAAAACCGGATAGAAGCCCTTCTTTTTGTCTTTCAAATGTAATTACTGCCGCAGGTTCACGTAAATTTACAAATTCAGTTGGAGGTAACATCAACAGGGTAGTAATCCAGTTTCTCTATTACCTTTCAAACATTGAAGTATGAAGTGTCATTATTGATAACCATTGTAATTTCAGGTAGTTTGCAGCTGATGAGAACCTGTAAAATAGAATGATGATGTCATTTTACACTGCAAATCTGGTCTTCCTTTCTCTATTGAAATTTATCAAAGGAACCAAATGTTTGAAATTCAGACTTAGCACTTCCAAAATCTAGACCTACTCTAATAACTTATCAATTCATTGATTCACTAGTAAGTTAGTTTATTTTAGTTTCAGGGAATACACAGTATGGAATTTTCAGTGAAATGAAGAATGTATGTAGATGTGACAGTTAGTGTTGCGTCTGAAAATATCTGAAATTTTTACACAATAGATTTAAATACCAAAAAAACAATGTTTTTCATAATTCACTTTTTTCTGATGAGAATAATAAAGGCAGTAATCTCTGTGAATGTTGAACTGAGTTCATTGGGCCACTAATAGGGTTTAGACAGAAAAATGGAAATTTGTTTTGTAATGAAGGAAGTAAAATCTTTATCAAAATAATTAGCAGTATTATCTTAAAATGCTTAAAATGTTTATCGTTTTTTTTCTGATGACTATTTTGTTGTTTCCAGATGAATGAGTATTTACATTTTTTCAATTTAAATATCAATATTCATTCAGTAAAACATCATATAAACTTTAAATGTCCTTAGTGTTGTTGTACTTTTACTGGACTTATGGTTCTTTATTTTTGCATTATTATTATTCCATTGGAATCCTAGTGGGACATAGAGTTTTAGCAGCATATCTCTACTTTGCCCTATTCCCTACAGCCTTAATTAGCCGGACCAAAGATTGCTCATAATCTCTCAACTCCTCCTCACACGATCTCCTCCATGATGACCCACTCATCGCCTCCCATTCAGATTCCATTCGACGGCCTGGTGCACGATGTCATTCAAAAGACTCCTCAGCGTGTGCTTGATCCATCTCCATTTTCCCCTACATTTTTATTTAGCAATAGGATCTTGGTTACTATGTTTCCATAGTTTCTTGCTGCGAATTCTTTCCCGACATTTGATCTTCAATGTGCAACCAGAGAATGTGGCTGTTGATTAAAGCTGAAGCTTTTTGGAGATTTCTTGATAGCGCACTAAGTTTCCGACCCACATGGGAGAGGAGAACTTGCTCAGCATTTGTGTTGAAAACCCGAATTTTGTTACTGATGCTGAAGGGCTTCATTGCCTTTCCGATTCTGGTTTTGACATTCTCATCGCTACCGCCTGTAGCTGAGACGATGCTGCTTAGGTAAGTGGAAGAAGTGACCCCTTTCAAATTTCTTCTGTTGACAGTGATTCATGTTTTCTGTTGTTGGTTGGTTACCTTCATCACCCCTGTCTTTCTTATGTATGTTTGAAGGTCCGTCTTTGCTGTCTGTTCCTCCCGCCAACTTGTTGGTTTTCACCTGTAAGTCTTCGAATTCATGTGATATTAGACACAAGTTATCCACTAAGTCCATGTCTTGTAGAATCTTCTTCTCAGTCCAACGTATTCCTGTCTTCTCACTCCTGTGCACAGTCTGACACATAATCCAGTCCACCACATTTAGGAGTGTTGTTTGTGATGGTAGGCAGCTTTGTTTTACTTTCTGAGTTTGCCGTTGTGAATCACCTGACACGTGTCATCGTCATATAGCTGTTGAATGCTATTTTCGAATGTAAATGGTTTATTTTATTTTTTAAGTTATCAAAGATCAAAAATCTGACAGTAACTCGTTGCCTGGACATATTCAGTATTTTGACACTACGATTGAACACTAGATAATAACTAGTACCATGCGTCTGGTTCTTGATTTTAGCGCAAACTGAATTTAGCCAGTGAATTATACAATGTGGCCACCATCCTAGGTGGCTTGCTATCACGGTGTACTCTGAATTGCTGTCGTTAAATGGTTAAAGGCAATCGGCAAGGAATCCTTGGACCCAGGTTTCGTGCTTGTTAGCTGTCCCCAGCCATCAAGGTATATCTGCAGTCTTCAAGGAACTCATGTCCCTTCTGATATTTGAACTCGAGTCACCCAGTGATGCAGTTAGAAACATTGCCACAGAGTTATGCTTTGACTGCAGCACTGAGTGACATAGGTTGGAATCTCACAAGGGACATAAGTTCCTTCAAGACTTCAGATATTTCTTGCTGATGAATGCTAACAAGCACGAAATCCAGGTTCATGTCTTCCTGTCGATTGCCCTCAATCATCTAAATTTCATACTATAGATTTTGAGAAAGTGCATTCAGTTTATTTTGAATTTAAGAGCAGAATTTAGACGCTAAAATAGAGTATAATTCCGTAGAGATAATTTCATGTGATATTGCATTATTACTGTGTTTCAGCAAATAAACTCACCTAATATTCATTTGTACTATTTTCTTGCAATCAGTTTCCTTTCCTAGTTTTTTTAATTTACTTTCCACACTAAATCGTGTATACGTACTTACGTAGGAACCACACGAATGTTGGTTCTCAGAAGAAATTATAGCTTCTCATAAATACAGACCTTCTTCAGCTAGTGTTACCGGAGGTGGAAACTGTTACATTTAGACATTTAGAAAGTAACTATTCTTCTCTATGTGTGCGTCGGTGGCACAGTGGTGGAGTGCTCGCCGACCACGCAAGTGGTCCGGGATTCGATCCCCGGCCGACGCACTCCCTTACCTCTCTAAGCCAGTAGTAAGACTGGTAAATAGGGAAAATTGGGCGTGAGGATAGTAACCCCATCCTGTAAAAATAATCGCCACTGCTACAGAAACTTCAAGCCACTAGCTTGAAGCCCTATGTTCCACTTGAAACATAAAGGGAAAAAACTTCTTCTATAAGTTTATGCTGGATATACTGATTATTTGGAAGACGTCCACTAGTTATATTATCTGGTGTGAAGTGCAGATTGAATCCTACTGATGAAGTTCACCGGTGCATTAGCTACACTATACACATTGCAAATAAAGTCAATCACCTCTTGGTATTATTCACCCTCGTAAGAATAATCTACTTAAACATACAGGCTATTTGAGTAGTAGGTAGAATTTTTAATGCACGAAAAGAACAGTAAAAACAATAAAGTAAAAATTCCCACAACAAATCTAACTTACACCAACCAATGAATTTATCAATAATAGTGTAACTCTTAGTACAGTAACACACATCTCTGTCTGCCTTCTAATAGTTTTCGAATCTCCTGGAAAATAAAAATGAATATAAATTATATAATGGTAAGGAAAATAGAGTTTAGATTTGTACTCAAAAAAGTTTTGATTGCATCAGTATTGCTCAAACAATAAGAGTAATCTCCACTAGTCATTCTGAGAATCATATACACTGATTCGATAATCCATACATAACTTAAGAGTCACAGTAAATAATAATCGAAATCACCACTTCAAGTTAGGTCACGGACTTATATCAGCTGGAGGACTACTGAAAACCGTGAAGTGCTGGGCAGCTGTTTCACAACCCTCCTTCAAGACTCTACAGCAGCACGCTCCCATAAACCATCAAAAATTGAACCTATTATCTTCAGGTTACGAGGCGAGTCCATTGACCATTTAGCCATTCGCGTACAAATCAATGGCTAATGAGTCCTAATCTCTGTCAATCTGCGATGAATATGGCCACCACCAAAGATGGAGAACTTCTGGCAGAAACCTGCACAAATTCGCAGAGATCTGAATTAATATGTCGTCTTATGGTACATAGATGATGGAGGAACAAAAATTCATTATTACTACACTTATTCATAAAGAAGTATTACTGAGGTTATCCAAATCTCAGTTTTACAGTAGGATACAAAGAAAAATGAATTAATGGACACATAGAAAGGTATGCATAGGGGAAACCTTTATCCAAAAGACTGAAAATGCACTTCAGGTCTTTCATTATGATTCGGTGTGGAATAAAACTGATTAAAAAGCTGTTTGGGATAGCGAATAAAGCTCGAAAGGATATCCTAACTAAAAGTGTATGTCGGGAAAGCACTATTCGTAAGCATC